TCACCATATGGATGGTGTCATGAAATATGTGATAGTACACAAAAATTAATTACAAGCTCTAACGATGTGTTATTGCCAGAGGAATAATATTGGGGCTTTAGTAAGTCTCAAAAGAAACTTTTTAAGTTTCAGATAAATTGAAAAGAAATATTAGGACTATAACTCATGAAAAGACTTAATATCTTCAGATTACTACCAACCGAAGCGGGTTATAAATATTTATGTAAAAGATTACCCATTTTTCCTCTTGTTTGTTGCACACAAACATGGACATGCTGATGAAATCACATGCAAAAGTAAGTTGTAAGTGTACTAAAATAAAGATCAGTTGGCCATTCCGATTAAAATATGATGCAAAAATAATTGAGAATTCACATAGTTATATACTGAAGAAATCAAATATTCTTCAAGAATTCTCTTGTGTTGTTTGTTCTCTGATAATTTGATCATTGTATCATTGTACCAGCTAAGGTTGAGATTGTACTCCCTGAGATTTTTGGAACACATAAAAAGGTGAATATGGGTTCATTCACCTACCATGTGGACCATTTATAATTATATGATAGATGGATCTATGCGATGGTCACACATGTGCTTTGTTGTCAACTTACAAACTGGTGTTTGTAAGGTTGTTTGCTCGAATTGTTAAATTAAGAGCATAGTTCCAAATTATGAAATTATAGATAATGCTCGTTGGTTTAGAAGAAATTGTATGCCTCCAATTATAGCTAAACCATTAATTATAAAAACAAATCTCCCAAAAAAAATCGGTATGAGATGAATTTATTTAACATGTAGCAACACTTGTATGCATCAAGCCAACAAAAGTCCCCTATCGAAATTGGTTCAGGGTCAGGAACCAAATAATTTCATCTAAACGTTGAATGTGTGGTTATGATTTAATTGCTCCACCACGCACAAAGATGAAATCTCAAATAAGATTGGGACGAATATTAGATTTTCTAACATTAGGGGGAGAGATGACTGAAAGCTGAAAAATATGTGTGAGATTAATTATGAATTATCTAGATCCTCGTTAAAAGAAAATGTGAACTTGAAGTTCAAGTGATAATTCATTTGCGTAGTATTGCAAATCTAATGCAAGATGAATTTACTGACCCTATGTTAAATTCAGCTGCAAATGCTCCAATGAGAAGTCCTTGAAGGACAGAGTCTATGATACCCCTGAAGCGTAATAGATCAACCGGTTCCAAATATAAAATTCTTTGAAGAAGGAGAGGAGCAAATGATCAATATGGTCATGATAATGAGACAAGTGCTATAAAAGAGCACCACGACATAACACTTCATAAAATCTTGGAAAAGGGTTAGGTACCTAAAAAATGAAGAGATCTCGATAAGTTATGTCATATTGGAATCGATATAAAATAACTGTCGACGGTATATTTGATATGAAGTAGCGCTCAATGATATAAATTGTGACGAGGATTTTGAATTCAAATATGTCATATGGTGTGGACAGATAAATGATTGATCAAGTATAATGCATAATTCAAGTATATTTTGTTTCACTTAGAAAAGTGATGTTTTAGATTGATAGTCCATAAATCAAGGTATAATGTCAGTGGGATACAAATAAATTATTATGCGATGGTATAACCGTAAGATATCAAGTACGGCTTGTGCCTTGGGCAATAAAGGTTTATCGCAAAAATCCTGACATTATTGGAGATGTTTTTTCCTATGGTGGATGCAATGAGATTTGTTTTGATCTGAAAATATGTGAAAACTTGAATGCATATAATGATTATTATCATGTCTAGCTAGACAATACTGAAGGTTATATGAAAATTCTTGAAGCAATCAAGGTGTCTGAAACATATAAAAGTTTGAAAGAAACTTTTTCAAAAAAGCTTCAAGAATTCTTATATGGATTGAAATAATCAAGGAAGAAAATGGTACAAAAAGATTGACCCTAATTGTCCTTGCATTTTTATGGAAAGGTCAGGATCTGAATTTGTTGTAATAGTTGTGTATGTTGATGACTTGAATATTATTAACACTCTTAAAGAACTTTCAAAAGCTATTGAGTGTTTGAGAAGGGAATTTAAAATGAAAAGATCCTGGTAAGACAATTTTGTCTTGACCTACAGATTGAGGATTTGACGAATGAAATATTTGTCCATCAATCAACATACACAAAAAAGTTTTGATGCGATTTTATATGAATAAATCACATTCATTGAGTACCACAATGACTATGAGATCGCTTGACATAAATATTCACTTTGATCTCAAAAGAATGATGAAGAGCTTCTTGGAGATGAAACTCCATATCTTAGTGCAATCAGGACACTAATGCATCTTGCTAACAATACTCTATCAGATATCTGTTTTGTAGTAAATTTACTGGCAAGATTCTACTCCTCCCCAACGAGAAGACGTTTAAATGACATCAAAGACATTTATTTGAAGTTATTCTACAAGATAATCAATTGCAAATGAAAGTGTCCACAAGATGATTATTGTTATAAACAAGTTGAATGAGCAATTTAATTACTTGCAATAACGAGGTCACGAATAGAGTGATTTTCAAGAATGTATTCGGCTAAGCTCAAAGCCTCATCATATCCATGAAACCAGAAAATGATATATCTAGATGAGTTTAATCACGCAACATCTTCGTGAATGTGATTTGATCACAAAGACACTGGCAATATTTGAGAAGTTGGTATATAAGATTGAATGACATCATCACAAGAAATTAAGTGATGTTTTAATTAGGGTGAGTATTATAAGCGTTGCACTCTTTTTTTCTTGACTGAGGTTTTATCCCACTGGGTTTTCCTGGCAAGGTTTTTAATGAGGCAACAAATTAAATAATGTGTATCAAAAGATATGTGTACTCTTTTTCCTTCGCTAGAATTTTTTCCCACAGGATTTTTTTCCTAGTAAGGTTTTAACGAGGCACATTATCTATGGACATTCAAGGGGGAATGTTATAAATTCATTGAATTAAGTGGATTGTCCATTAAGTTTATTCATGAACTTATCCTTATCATGAATGTGTATTCCCAAGGTGATATGAACCATTTTGAGATAATGATATATCTATTAACTTGGCATTCATCAAAGTGGCCTTTGAAGTGATTTCTCTACTTATAAATAGAGTTATCATTCTCCATGTAAGATATACTTGAATAAGAAGAAAAGTTTTCTTTTATCTACATTTCTTGCCTTCTTCTCATTATAATTATATTATTCTGAGCTTGCTTTTATAACCAATTAAATATCTTCACATTTATTAAAAAATAAAAAATGCTACCTCCCCCCCCCCCCCCTTTTTTCCGAAGCAATAGATCAATTCAGAAGGTCAATAAGGAAACACTTCAACCATGAACACACAAACCGACACCAAAGTCTTTCCTCAATGTGTCTCACACATACACATTTAATTCATCCCATCCAATAAGTCGTCTCTTTGTATTTTTCTACAATTTTCTTTTCTATCCTATCTTATCCAAGAGAAATTACAAAATAGGAAACAAGATTTTGAATATTATTGTTTGAGGATTTTAATGAAATTTGCGGTAGATTTGGCAATGGGGAAGAACGAGGCGAGTTCAAATAATAATATTTTTTTCAAAATTTGATGCAGGCAATGATGGAATCAGAATTTTCATTAAGGGTGTTCAAAATCTAGAGAAGTAAACACATAAATAAGAGAAAAGAGATTCGACAACTATTATATATACATAAAAAAAAATTTAATCATGTATAAATAATATACTTTTCCAACGTCGAATGAGGTTCAAATGAACCCCCTGACCACAAGGTGGCTCTGCTCCGGGATGCGAGGTGGAGGAAGGCGGGTTCAAAATTTTGTAGATTTATGTGGATTTGCTCCACAATTGTCCAATGTGGCAGAACGGAGTGGATTCAAATAATACTTTTTTTTAAATCAGAGGTGGGCGAAGGAAGGCGGGTTGAAAGCTTTATAGGTTTATGTGAATTTGTTCCACAACCGACCCGTTTGTCATTCCTAGTTTTAGGGATGATGAATTTTCATGCAATTATAATGCAAGTTTTACTTGAGTTTCGTTATTTAGAGTCAATATATTGTGAATTTAAAAATAATTTTGAAAAAAAAATAGTTTTTTTCTAAACAAAATGTAATTTTATGTATTTAATAAATATTATAGTAATTAGATAATCCGAAATGGTAGCTAATACTCTCTCTCCCCCCCTGATCTATCTTATGAATCACTTAAATCTAGTAGGTTAAAATTAAGTACGCAAAGGTGTTTATTTATTTAATTATTTGTATATAAGTCTATATGTACGTCCATTAGAATATGAACACTTTTTTGTTCCCTTTTAGTAATTCGTAATTTTCTTTAAAATAATACTACAAATTATTATATTTATTTAATTTTTCCAAAATCTTGGAAAAAGTACATTAAGAGCCCCTTACTTCTTGTCATGATTCACTTTCTCTCTCTTCTGAATTTTCATGTGTTGACTTTCTTTCCTTTTATCAATTTGCACGCATTAATTACTTCTCTTCACAAATAGTATATATATGAACTAATTTTCCTCTTTTTTCCATACAAATCCATTTCCAACATTTCAATATCTTCAATCTCTTGAAAAGTTTCTCTTTATATTCATCAAAACATTACTTTATTTTCCCTTTCCCTTAGGGTATATCATTCTTTAGGTTAAACATTTCGATATCAAAAGTTTGTTGACCTCACTAATAAGATTCGTGTAAGATAGATTCCCAAAAAGTTGTGGTTTGTTCAAAGTATCTATTTTCCTCTTTTCTCCACACAAATCATCACTAATTCCCATCACAAAACACTAGTATCCTTTTCCCCTTCCCTTCACAAACTTGGTCCATTCCTCCTTCAAGAGATCTATATATCTCTTTGCTTCTTCAAATATGAACTTTTTTGTTTAACCATCCGATCAATTCATATTCATCTTGAATAAATCCACCAAGGAGCAAAAAAATTCTTTATTCTCAAGCTCGAATCTAAAATATTTGATCAGGGGTGGAGGGATCACGACCAACTAATATGGAAGATGTTGAAGTTCCGGATTATTTCCTTTGTCCAATATCAATGCAACTAATGAGGGATCCGGTTACAACATCAACCGGAATAACCTATGATAGGGAGAACATAGAGAAATGGCTATTCAAGTGCAAGAACACAACTTGTCCCATAACCAAACAAGAGTTGTTGACCATGGATCTTACCCCAAATCACACTCTTCGTCGTGTGATCCAATCTTGGTGCATCATGAATTCTTCCCATGGTGTTGAAAGGATTCCTACTCCAAAGTCTCAAGTAACAAAATCATATGTTCTAAAACTCCTTAAAGAAGCCATGCAATCCCAAGAAATGCAACTTTCTTGCTTGAGGAAACTTAAATCTATTGTTCATGCAAGTGAGAGCAACAAGAAATGTTTACAATCATGTGAGGTTGTAGATTTCTTAGCTTCAATTATAATGAAGCAAGAAGTGGCTTTTATTCAAGATTCAGAGTTCAGGATCAGTGGCAGAGATACCCTTTTACAAAAAGTCGTGCCATCTGACATTGTTTCACCAAAAGATTCCGAATCATACAAGTTGAGTTGTGATAATAGTCAGACACCACTTGTACTCGAGTACTTCACTACTAAGGCAAGTGATGAAGCATTGGATATTCTTTTCCATCTTAATCCCTCCGATGAAACCCTAAAAAAGTTCGTCTCCAAAGACAATGGAGACGAACTTTTCTTAGATTCTTTATTGTATTTCTTGAAATGTGAGAATTACCAATCTCGAGACTATGCAATAATGCTATTAAAATCAGCATTCAATGTGGCTGATCCATGCCAATTAATTGGTGCAAAACAAGAATATTTTAAAGAAATATTGTTATTTTTGAATAACAAACTAATCTCACAACAAGCTACAAAGGCTTCACTTAAATTACTAGTGGAACTTTGTCCATGGGGTAGAAATAGAATCAAAGCAATTGAAGTTGGAGCTATATCAACCCTAATTGAGCTTCTTCTTGATACAATAGAAAGAAGATCTTGTGAATTAATCCTTACAATTTTACACCAACTTTGTAGTTGCGCTGAGGGCCGGGCTGAGTTATTGAACCATGGGGCAGGAATAGCCATTGTTTCCAAGAAAATACTTAGGGTTTCACAAGTAGCAAGTGATAGAGGAGTGAGGATACTTTGTTCCATTTCAAAATTTTCAGCAACTTGTAAGGTTCTTCAAGAGATGTTGCAAGTGGGAGTGGTGTCAAAGTTGTGTTTGGTGATTCAAGTGGATAGTTGTTCAAAGACCAAGGAAAAAGCAAAAGAAATTCTAAGGTTACATTCTAGGGTTTGGAGAGATTCTTCTTGTCTTCCTCCTCATTTACTCTCTTCTTATCCTTCATAAAGAAAATTATAATGTTGTTGTTTTTGTCCTTTTCCAACTTTTGGATTTAACTTATATATACTGATCAGTATAAGAAAGTTTTGCCCTTTCAATGTAGTTTGACTTGTTATAATTCATTACATGTCTCATTTATGTTTTTTTTAGGTTACTAAATTTACTTATTATGGCCCGAAATACATTAGATAATGATAATTGTTGAAGTGTATGACTATCTAATCTGAAAGTTAAAGTTATGAAAAAACACTTGTAATTAGTTAATTACTATATGCATACTTACATGTGGACCTAATTTATTTTTAATTAATTAAGGCGTAAAAGAAGATGTGTGTGTTTTGTGGGTGACGGTGAGATTTGAATCTAGAATCTTTTATTTGTTTTGTTACAATATCAAAGTATGTGAGTATTTCACTTAAATATTTAAGTTGTTAATTAAGTTGAAAACAGAATTAGTATATGTTTTCGGTTTAAATAAATTAAACTCTTCCTTTTTTATGTAGATAATTGAGAAATATTACTCCAAAGTGTAGTGTTTGAAGTTTGAGCATTGGGGTTTAGGGTTAATTATCAAAACAACAAACATTTATATTAAAAAAATAATTAATCCATGACTATTGAGATATGATCTAATTTGGATTCTATTTACTGTTTTTCAAATAACTTTTAGTGGACATATATGCATTATATATAGTTGAGCTCTTTTAACAAAGCCATCCACCTAGAGATTCTAAAAGTTCAATTTTTTCCTAGGGCAACTATATATAGTTTTTTTCATTTTTTTATTAATTGGTTTCTCATTCGATGTCTGGTACTCATATTGAAGTTTGTTGATTAAAATTAAATCGCATATTACATGACTCATTTCCAAGAACGACACTCTCCTTCGAATTATTTTTATTTCAAAAGCTCGAATCAAAAAAATTTATTTCAAAATAAAGAAATCTCAATCATATCACGAGAACCGTCCCCATACGATGTGAAGTCACTATAATTGGTGTAACATGGATTTGAGTTTAGTCCAAAGTTCGAAAGGTCAAAGTCGTACAATTGCGATTTAGATAGTGTCCCATCCTTGTTTTTTAGTTTATTGTTTATTCATCTTCTTATTTTTTTCAAAATTATTTGTCTAGACATGAAGTGGCGGTTTGATCTGTCCAATGAATAAAAAACACAAACTTAAAATAATTGAGAAATAATAGTAATAATAAAATGATTAGGAAAGCAAACACACGTATCTAGAACACGAAAATAGATTTTTTTATAAATTATTTGTTTGTTTAAAATAACAATTTTCTCACATAATTATGAGAAATTTGATTTTTTAGTTTTTTTTAAATCTTTTTTATAAAAGATCTTCATTTTACACCTAATAAATTTTAAAAAATTATTCAATTTATAAATAACCACAAGATATTATTAGTGATAATTAATTATAGATCTTGCCATGCACCTTCCTATATCATAATTAGACTAAAGCCATGTTCCTCTCTCCAGCTGTTGGGATGCATGAAAGTTAGTATTAGGTTTGTTTGGTATGACGAAAAATATTTTTATAAAATAAATAAATTTATTTATTTGTGTTTAGTTTAAGGAAAAAAATAAATATATATATTCGATAAGCTTTTATACGTAATTAGTAAAGCATTATGATAGGGTGAATGGTCAAGAGACGGGGGTTGGAGATGTTGGGTGGCTGGAAGGAGATAATTAATTTGAAAGTTACGAAATTTGTTTATTTCAATTTTCATTAGAAGTTTTCTTTTCATTTTTAAGGGCCTTATTTTCTCAGAAAAAAAATTTCCAAAATATTTTGACAAACAAGAGAAAATTAACCCCCCACCCCCCAAATACCAAACACATCAAATTACTTTGTACTCTTATCTCTGTAAGGGTAAAAGGTATATTTGAATCTCTGTAAGGGTAAAAGGTATATTTGAACAAACTATAATTAAAATGGAATATGACAAACATATAACAGTGAGGGTATATATGACCCAAAATTATAACATAGGAATAATATAATAATTTTTTAAATAAATATGACCATTTTCTGTATTAAATATCTGGACCCTTTTATATATACGAATCCGGATCCAAAACTAAAATTAGCCCAACCTACAAACCAAGCTAGTAATAAATAATGAGTAATTTACAGAAATTTTAATAGTTCAGGAGTTAATTACTTAGATACACACTCGTTTTCAACATTACGAATCTTACTAGATTTTGGCGGTCCAAATACATGTATCTCGAGATACATGGGATCAAAATTAGATGCAATTTGTTCTAGATACACTGGATTGCAAGTGGATCCGCATGTATCTTGGATACATAGACAAACTTCGTTCGCCACTCTCCTATCTCGCTCGTGTATCTAGTATATATATACATATATATATATATATAGTATGATTTGTATATATCTGGAATACATAGACAAATCTCGTCTCCCTCCTTTTTTCTCGCTCAACTCTCTCCCTATTTCAGTGTATCTGGTAGCAAAAAAACATCTATATACGTATATTTGACTTGAAATCTGGTATGAAATTATTAATTAGTGAGATAAAATGTAATCATTTCAAACTGTAAAGCGTATTTGTGTAATTGGATAATTTTTTCATAAATATAAGTGGGCTTGGCCCAATACAAAATAAAAGAGGAAAACCCAAACTATGAAACCCTGCAATTCCGTTTGCATATATATTTCTAAATTTAAACGGGACATTGGAATATGGTAAAAATGTTTTTGTGTGATCTATAGCTCACAAACTTGAATCGTAGATGCAATCGCTAATACTTATATTAAAATAAATTATCTACATCACAACCGTTGAAATGTAGCTCTTCCTTGAATTATATTAACATGGGATGCTATGTGCTTTGAACTACTCCATAATGAACTACATATCATAGCTTTTCCGTTTATACAAAAGATGCATATAATCTAATTGTAATTTACTACATACATTTTAATTTTTGTTAATTTTATAAATATCTAACGTTTAAAAATTAATGTATATGTAAATATTGTATAAACAATGTATATAAATGTATATACATATTTGATACATAATTATACATCATATATGTTTATACAATATCGATATATATATTACATATACATATACTTATTTTGTTGAAAAAATATTATCACATAGTACAATTACGTAAAAACTTCTGGTAAAGATCTAAGAAATGTAAGTCTAAGATATTGCCTGCTTTCTTTTCTTTGTCTAAGTCCTTTTTCATAATATTTTATTTCTTAAAATGTTAGTTGTTTGCACATATGTTTCACAAAGTTGACACTTTCTCATTTGTCTCGATCAAAATAAAAAAGAGAAGGAAAAAATGAAAAGGAATGGAGTAAAAAAAGAAGAAAAAAAACCAATTAAATGTATTTGAATAAATATTTTCTTTTTGTTAGGAAGTGTTTTACCTCTAATAGTGAATTTTTTGATGAAAATTCAAATTTAGTCGAACTCTAATACAAATACAAACGCCAAATAAATAAATAAATAAAACTTTCTCATGCCAACCATTAATTCTTCCTTTCTAATATGTCAAAAAAAGGTGGAGCCTATCTATTAATTGTAATAATTCTTAATAGATGACAACACAATGCCGTTCTATGTGGTCTACTAAGACATTTCTTGATCGTGGAACTCGTATAGTTATTTAAAAAATAGTTTAATTTTTTTGGCATGTGCAAATATATATATATATATAAGTTGGTTTAGTTTGTGAATAATTTATATTGAAATTATAAAAAAGAGATTATAAATATGAAGTTTAAATAATAATAATATAAGAAAAATCCAAATATTTAGCTCATTTCTTTTAAATGTCAAAAAAACAAAGATGAAGTACTATGATTTCGTTGTAGAAAAATAAATTGGGTGATATTTTAAATTAAAATAACTATAGGGACATCGATTTATTAAGGCCCATCATAAGAATTTGATAAAAGAGGGTAAAAATGAGGATAATTAGGAGGAGTGTATCTAGTTCCACGTGCGAATCAATTCAAATTCATGTTGGGCGGTAGGGGTGTATAAAATCGAACCGAAAATCGAATCAAATCGCAAATTGAGTCAACCCGGAAAAAAAACCCGACTAGTGGTTTGGATTGACTTGGTTTGGTTTTGAAAAAAAAAAAACCCAACTATATTTGGGTTGGTTTGGTTTTAACTAAAAAAACCAACCCGAGACCAAATCAACCCGACATTATATATATAAAATTTTATTTTATACATAAAAATTTTACTTTGATATAATTTTTAAATATTTCTTATACTTTTTCATAGTTTTTATCTTTAAATATATTATTTCAAGTTTGAAACTTAGAATTATGAATGGGCCAATAAAGATTATAGTCCACAGATGTTGGTAATTATAATAAAGCTTAAATCAAAATCAAATTAATACTAATGCAAAAAGAAAATCAATTCAACATTAAGAATGACAATAATATTGAATATTTGTTCTTTAGTTTTACATTGGTTAGACAATTAAAATACATAATCTAATTTTAATTTCCTTTAATATTTAGTCATGTAACTAATACTAATTAAACTTAATTTTAGCATGATTTAGTACTTTTAAATTATGATCATTTTCATTATGACTTGTTAATTTGCAATATTTGTTTTACGCGATTTCATTATTATTGTTTTTGTTGGATATTTTAGTGTCATTAATCATATCATATTGTGTTATATATTTTTAAAAAACATCTTAGATAGTTATATTTTGGTAGGACTAAAGAAATATTTGAAGTACTAGTAAATTATATGTTTGTATGAATACTTTACCGGAAAAACCCGAAACAACCCAAAAAACCAAAAAACCAAAAAACCCGAAAAAACCCAAGGTTGAAAAACCTGAGTTTTATTGGTTTGGTTTGGTTTATAAATTTAAAAATCAGACACAAATAATTTGGTTTGATATTTGAAAAAACCCGAACCAACCCGATCATGTACACCCCTATTGGGCGGTTAACTAAATAAAGAAGCCAATCATCTCAC